AAACATTCCCATGGATAGCCAAAGCTCTCTAACTAGTGGGTTGACATGTGCCGGAATGAAATATGTATAGAAAAGAAACATAAAGTCTAAGAAAAAGAGAGAGGAAACACATGCCTAATCTCACATGTGAATTGATCTTATACATTTTTTAAAAAATATACAAAAATCATAGAAAAAACCCATGCAATAGCTAAAACCCATATTGGGTAATGACGTTTAGGTTGTGTTTGGTTGCAATGCAATTTTATTTATACTAGTACAAATGCATGAAAGTGAAAACGAAAAGAATGCAAATTCTAGTTTAATTTTGCCTTCAGTTGTACTTTATTCCACTTCAGGTCTTTTGTTACTTCATTTATGCTGCAATCAAACAAAATTTGTATTATCATGATTTTGCATAGTTTATTGGTGAAATTGATGCTAATTGGAGTCTGCTTTGGCTATCTAATGACTCAATCCCAAGGTGAAATTTGGGAGTGCTTATTTGTATTTGGAACATAAACTCAAATAAATATAAAATATTATATTATAAATAATAAATAATATATTATATATTATAAATATATATATAGTATGTAATACATATATATTCATATGTAATACACAAATAATATAAAATATATATAATACACATGCATATATATATATATATATATATATATATTGGATTGATTCAGTTAATCGTCGGTTTTTTTATATTGGTTAACCAAAACCAAACCAATATATTTGGTTTTTTCTGAAATACCCAACCGATTTATTCATTAACCAGAATTTTTTGTTCGATTTCTTCGATTAGATTCGGTTAGGTTTATTCATTTCTCGGTTTTTCTTGTTCATCCCTAGTTAGAGGTGTAAATCGGGCAATGTTGGGCCAACACAACACAGCCCGTGTGCGGGCCGGGTCGTGCTTTCCTCCCCTAGGATACCTCAGGGGGTTAGCCCGGCACGACCCATAGCCCGAGCCCATGTGGGCCTATGCCATAGACCTGGCTCATGTCAGGCTGGGCTACGAGCTGAGCCTTGGGCCTAGGCCGAATCGGGCCAAACTTTTTTTTTTTTGACATTTTGATTTTTTTTTTGCTACTTAATACTTCACTTTCCTTAATTCAATGATTCCTTTGAGCTCTGGGAACAAATTGGAAAAAAAAAAGTCTAACAAAGAAATTAAAAAAGATACTTAAATACTTAACAAAATACAAAATGGACAACAAATTGAAAAAAATAGGAATTTTATTTCTTTAATTTGAACAATACAATGGATGAATGAAATATATAAAATGGAATAAAATATAAAAAATATAATACAATCATAAATTGGAAATAAAAAAAGTAAATTGTTGAAAAAATAACAACTAATTTAAATAAAATTGAAAAAAAATACAATAATTGAAATAATAAAATATTGAGTATACAAAATAATAAAAATTATTGGCTTCATCATTTTTCTTCAAGTTCCACCTCCACCTGCATCTTCATCTAATCATCTTCTTGGTTCTCATCTTATGCTTTAGGTGAAACATCATGTGTAATGCCATGTCCTCCCTTGTCTTGTAATATATCCTCAGCATCCAACAAATCTTTAAAGCAAATGCGCATCTCTAGACTTTTATTATTCATAAAGTTTCTCTTGTCGTTTAGCACCTTAGTACTTGTACTAAAACAAAACTCCGATGGAACTATAGACACAGAAGGGGTTAGTAAATCATGTGCCATGGCAGCAAAGACAATAGTTTTTTTCATGTCATCTCCACTAGGCTAAAGTATCAAAATTTCCCATACATCGTCGTAAGAATCAGTTAAAGTATAAACACTTGCTTATAAATAAAAATTAAGTTCAATAAATGAACTTGTTGATGAATTGGTAGTATATCTCTACCTCTTATGTATTAGAGACTGAATTTTGTATTTTCCACTAATGGAACTAATTGTTTCATAAGTGAAACTTGCACATGTACAAGATTTCCTATGCCCCTACCACTTGAGATTCATATAAACTATACATTTTAAATAATAAACTATTAACTTCTTCTATTTTATTTTCAATTTCAAAATTCATATTTTCACAATATGATTCAAGTAAAATTTTCAAACCATATTTCCTAATTCTAGGATCTAGTATTATAGCTAAGCAATAAAGGGGGAAATTTTCTCTCAATATTTTTTAAATTTATTTTCCATTATTTCAATAATACTTTGAAATTGTGGATTTTCCTATATTTTGTAAAGCATTCACTAATTATAAATAATTGATTAATTAAAAGACGATTAGTTGAGTAATAAACACCTAAAAATTCATTAGTTGCATCATAAAAAAATTGTACAAAAATCTTTCATACAAATTGCCATTTCCCAATCTTCATCAAATATAGGATCATGTGGCATTTTTTCATTATAAAAATTACTAAGAATTTGTTTGTAAGCAATACACCTTTCTAACATAGAATAGGTAGAATTCCATATATGTTGAACATCTAACACAAAATGTTTATATTTTAAACCATAATTTTGACATAATTATTTAAATTATTGTTTTCTTGCTCCAAAACTTTTAATATACATTATACAATTTATAATTTTAGAAATATGATGAGAAATAATATTCAATGCATCTTCAATACATAAATTTAAGATATGACATGCACATTTAATTTTAAATAGTTTACCATCTAAACATGGTTTTAATTGAGATTCCAAAATATATATTACTGAATCATTATTACTAGAATGATCAAAGCTAGTAGAGAAAAAGTTTATTTTCAATTCCATAAATATGTAAAGCATTTAAAATACTTGTAGCAATAATTGGGCCAATATGTGGCCATTCAAGCATAATAAAACTTAAAATACTTTTTGATGTAAAAGACATTTTTCATCAATAAAATGATCGATAACACAAATATAACTTATGTTAAATCTAGATGTTCAAATATCAGAAGTAATTGCAAATTTAGAATTAAGATTTGATAACATAGAAATTAAATTTTGTTTATATGAAAAAAAAATTTAAAGCATATGTTCTAATAGTATTTCTATAAACTTTTTTAAATTGCGGATTTACAAATCTATGTAAAAATTTTTCAAGTTTAGTGTCTTCAGCTAATAAAAATGGATGTTCAACATGCACAATATATTTTGCTAATTCTTGCCTCATTTTTTCTTGGGAATATTTAAAATGACCAAAAGTCTCACTTCTTATTTGTACTTGTGATGTTTCTTTTCCTTCATATTCTTTCATCAAATGGTGTTTAAAATGTTTGCCCAAGTGGCCAATACCACCACTACTATTATAGCTAAAGTCACTCATATGTTTTTGACAAACAACTCTCTTTCCCTTCCCCTCAAGCTCATTTATTTTAAATATTGTCCAAACCGGGTTAATCAACCTAGTGTTCTCATTTTTCTTTCCCTTACCTCTAGTAGTAGTACTAGGGGTGGGAACGTCGGTAATATCAACAACATTCATATTGGCGCTAACACTATCATATTGCGATTGAACATCGATATTGTTGACATTGACCATATTGGAGATTTGGTGTAGAGAGCGAGAGGAGGAGCCAACATTTTTTTAATTATAAAAATAAAAATTAATTTAATTGCATTTACCTGAATTGCCGGTTCAGAATTTCAACTTGATTTCAACGGTTGAAGACTCCAAGTCTCCCAAATTGCTAACGTGAGATACCCGAGCAAGCCTTTTTCTTGTTGAAATTTGAATCAAGTTGAGAATTGGAGAGTAGAGAGAGTATTAGAATATGATATATGAGAGGAGATTGAGATTTGAGAGAGTATAAGAATTGGTGTGATGAGAATGGTGGAGGATAAGGCTATTTATAGGAATTGAAAATAATTTAGTTCCCCAAAATACTCCAAAAATAGTTGTTTTTAGTTGTTTAAAGGGGTATTTTGGTCATTTTATCTCCCCCAAAAGTCAAAATACATAAATACGGGGTACTTCTATAAAAAACTCCCCTGAAAGTTGAAACTAGCCGTTGGGGGAGATCTCCAACGGTTGATTTTTCGGACAGGTTGAATGTGGCTTAGTGCGGGCCAGGCCGGGCTAGACCGCTGGCCATAGGCAATATGGCACGATAGTGTAGGCTGTGCCAGCCCAGCCCGCCAACTTGAAACCCTAGGTCTGACATGGCCTATAAAGTCGTGCAAGGCCGCAACGATTTACACCTCTCCTTGTGGTGGTAACTTCTTATTAGTAGAAAAAGGGTGAATAGAGATACCTTATCGATGGATATGTTTAGTTGTTTACGATTAGACCTATTCATGGGCCGGGTAGCCCGATGGCCTGGCCCGCGCCCTGGTCGGGCTTGGTCATGTAATTAGGCCCGTGGGCCTGACCTCGGGCCTAACACAGTAAGCTCGACTGTGTTACGAGTTTGTCAAAAAAGCCCGGCCCGGCCCGACTCAGCATTATATATTTTATAAAATACATAATATATATTTTATATATTATATATTATATAAAATATAAAAATAATATAATATTTATTGAAATATATATATATTTATAATTTAATATATACATTTTTTTTATTTTTTTCTTTATAATTTCTCTCTCACTCTCTCTCTTTCTATTCAGCCGCTTCAGCAATAGTAACAATATAGGCTAAATTTCGGGCTCAAGCCCAGGCCCGTGCTTTGGGCTTTTTATGAGGGCCGGGCTCGGGCCCAAGTTATAGGCCCGATGGTCGAGCCGGGCTCGAACTCGAACCTTAGAAAAATCTGTTAATACAGAATGAAAGCCCGGCCCGGCCCATGAACAGATCTATTTACGATTACTGAGTAGACATTCGAATTAAATCCAAACCGTCTATTCAACCAAGGTTCGGGAAAACTTAAAACAGTCGAGATTGATGAAAGAATTGGATATACCATATAAATACAATAGGTCGAGGTCCACCGTATCTATTTCCCCCTCTCCTCATCTCCGTCTCAAGTCTTAACCCCTGAGCAAGGCACCGATATGCGCTTATAAATAAAAAGGGCATCAATTTTGGATTGAGCTACAGTTCAACTTGGAAAAAGAAAGGTGAGAAGGAAGCCCAAGGGCTTAAATAGGATAGGAGTCCGTCCCCTCTCTCTCCCTCTCTCCAACCCGACCGAGCCAGCGAAGAAGCAGCAGCGGCTCAGAAACCCTAATCGGAATCGTCTCTCCAAGTCTTCTCCATCGTCGTCGTGGAATTTAAAGATTGGGAACAAAAAATCGGAGCGGGAGGGAACCGTCACCGGCTTTGCATCTGCATGGACCAGGGGAGAAGAATTTAGGGAGGGAGCGAAGGATTCGCTGCGAGTTCGGAATAGGAGCAGACTATAACAACATGTCTGCCATAGTGTGCGGCAAGAGATCTTTCTTTGAAGACCTTCCAACGACAACCCCTGTTTCCTCTAAGAGAATCCGTTGCTCTTCTTCTACTTCTCCCATTCGCTTCTCCCCGCCTAGGCCCATCAACGCCTCCAGCTTCTCTGCTTCCTTGTCGTCTCCCTCGTCTTCTGATCTCATTAATTCCGCTTCTGGGACGGCCTCCACGCCCTTGCTCAATCATCTCAGAGCTATTTTTCCTGACATGGACGATCAGGTTGTTTATTTTTTTAATCCCTTCTTATTTATTTGGTTATTAATGGTTATCATGATTGCTGGTATTTTTTATTTTTAGCTTCATTTTTTCCTACTTTGATTGGATTGATTATATCAACGTGTAATTTAAGAATATATATGAGAACCCTTCCAAGGGAAGAAAGGAATCTTGAGGAAAACGAGAATTGCTCTAAGGAAAAAATGATGCTTTTTTGATGTCTTAAGGTTTCGAATTTCTTTGACGACGACGGCGATCACGTTCTTACTTCTTAGTATTTCCTCTCCTTCGAGTTAACTTAATTATTTTAATGGGAGAAATTTAATGGTGGATGTAGTCCATCGACGGAATTGGTTAGACATGAGGTGCTGGTATTCCGGGTATTGTGAGAATTTTTGGGTGCATTTGTGGCAAAGATCATGACAAGTGGATTTAATTCTGTTAGGGGGTGGGGACCTGGGGGGATGCTGGAGTCAATAAACATCCTGCCTAGGCAGTAGTTTGGTGACTGCTTGTTTGTTGAAGAAAAGGGCTTCATGATGTTGAAAATAAAGAGAGCCGGTGTTGCATGTAGTCTTTAGGGGTTAGGATAAGGCGTAGATTAGAGCAGAGTCACCGATTTAAAGTTTAAACATGCAAAGCTTTATTCTGTTTGTCTCCGGTTTATTTATTTGCTTGTCCCATGGCAATGGATTGTTCTTGGGAAGTGTTGAATATCCTTTAGATGTCTGAATTTCTTTTAAATCTACATATTACATGATGGTGAGAAAGGACGGAAAAGTTTCACTTTTTGAGTGCTACACCCTGGTTCCTTTTGTTATATTTGTGTAGTAAATGCAATGTGGTGCTTCTAGTTGGGCCTTTACTTTAGAGAGATCCAATGTAGTTTGATGTTATGGTAAATGAGAAATAGGATGTTGATGTGGTTTCATCCTTTATTCTTTTGAATAACTGAGGTGTCTCCATGCGACTGTGAGGTGTCTTTAAGCTTTAATTTCGATGATTGTTTACTTGCAACACATTTGCCTTTTCTTTTGATTAGAGTTTCATCTCGAGCATAGTTAGATACTCTTGCTTAAGGTTTAGATTTGCATTTTTTGATTCATTAATTGCATACCTTCTGAGAATTTCTTTAATATGACATGCTACTAATTATTTCATACCCATTTCCAGCTTCTTGAGAAAGCATTGGAACAATGTGGCAATGATCTGGATTCTGCTATTAGGAGTCTGCATGAGCTTCGTTTAGAATCTGGAGAAAGCAATTTGGGTTCTGCTGATAAGACTGATGGAAATCCAGAAAGTATTCAGTTACCAACTCTAGGTATGAATATTTAAGAGCGTCCAGTTGAACTTGAGTTTGACTTTTACTGATTGTAGACTCTTGGGCTTTACTTATACTGTTAAACATAAATCTTTTCTCTTTTTCTTTAGATATTGTAAGGAGTCTTTTAGAGCTTACTTCATTGTTGAGCTCATTGTATATCAAAAGATGAACATTTTGTGCAAAGAACACAAAGGATTTCATCCAGTTGATTTGATTATTTGATGATTTTGACCAAGCCTGTAAAAATTCCCAATGGAAGTCTTATATTTCTTATTTTAATTATGTTTTCAATCACATTATATCAATTTAGTTTGACATAAGAAAATCAGAACTCGGAAGTTGTAGAAGAGAGGGTAATCAATATTCTGGGACTGTGCTTAGAAAAAAACTTCTAGCTATCTGTTTCCACCTTTTACTGACAAAAATCTGCAGTTGGGATAATATAGTGATGAAAAACAGCATTATTTGTGTATGAATTTTTCAGAAAGATGTAGAAAACTTTAGGGAAAATGTTGATCAGTATTTTTTTTCTGTTTTAAGGAGTCTATTCACAAAACGTCAAGTTTATTAAAGCATATTTTCCAACATGCAAGTAACCCATTAAATTGGTGGGACTCTTTAATCTACTGAAATATCTAATCTTCACTAAGATTTGTACACTTAGGGGGTGTTTGCCAATAAGTACGATTTTATTTTTCAAAACAAAATGAATGCCACATAAGTAATATACTGCTGTTTTTGCTGATGCTGCAGTTGTTTTTGTTTTGAAAACAAAAATCTTATGTATTGGCTAATACCCTCCTAGATTTGCTAAAGTTCCATTTTATATTTTACATGGCATATATGTTCATTAGGCTCAGTTTGGAAGGAGTACAAATACAAATTTGTAGAGTACAAAATCTTGTATTTTGTATGTATTTACACTATACATATTTGTATTTATACTCTTTCCTAACTGAGCCTTAGGAGCTGAAAGGCTGCAAGCTTCTTGAATTATATATGGTGTGCTCTATGTTCGCCCTAGGCTTAGCTCTACCAGTGGAACTTAGAATCATAATTTCCCATGCTATTATAATGTTCCTTGAGGACTTTCATATGTGTAATCTTAAGCCTTGATTTATGAACCTGTGGTTTTGTACGACATTATGGAATAAATTATACTCTGTTGACTATACATTGCCTCCATTAATTGTTAGTATTGTGAAAAATTTATTTAGAAGTTTTTAATACTCAATCTATATTGTGTGACAAAATCTGTAAATCATAATACTGACTTGCTCCTCAGTTGAACTTGGGATGCTTTAAAATGCTGCTTCACAATTGTTGTATCTTGTATCTAAGTGAGGTGACCACGTAACTAGATTGCATCTTATGTAGTGGCCAAGTTGCATATTTTTCCTACTCCCTGCCAATCAAAATTATTTCCTTTAGCCTGCTTTTTTTTAGGAGGCTTCAAGTCTTGAAAAGGAAATCTTGTGGGATGGAGTGGATTGCAAGAAATATGATATAGTAGTGGAACTAAATCTTTTTTAAGCCTGAAGTTCATGATGGAATGCCCTTTCTCATTAGAACCTGAATGTTTTGAATATTATCATGGCAAGAGTGATGGCTAGGAAGGCGTTCTATTGAGCAACAAATTTGTATTTTATTAAATATCATATAATCAGTTATAGATATTAAAATATTATAGGGTAAATTTCTAAAACCTCCCCTATAGCTTTTGACTGTTGCTGGAACCTCCCCTGAAGTTTGGTAATTGCAATCACCTCCGCTGAACTTTCTAACACAGTTGCAAGTAGACCCCTTCTGTTGGAATCCTCTAACAAGAGGCACAAAAATGTCCAAAATAACCATGCCATTACTTTTGACCTAAATGTTTATTTTCTAAATTTTCTCTTTATATCAATCACTACCCCAAACCCTTCCAATATCTTTTAAAAGATAAAGCTGCAACTATAATCTCTCTCTCTCTCTCTGTTGTCCACAAAGTTTGCATTTTTTTTTTGTAGAAACCAGCCTCAATAGTAACTGCATGGTATTTTGGACATTTTTGTTCCTCTTGTTAGAGGATTCCAACAGAGGGGGTCTTCTTGCAACTATGTCAGAAAGTTTAATGAAGGTGATTGCAATAACCGAACTTCAGGGTGAGGTTTCAACAACAATAAGAAATTTCAGGGGTGGAGGTTTCAGCAGTATACCCAATATTATATAATCAGTTATTACATCCTAGTAAAGGTTACCCACATAGGGATGTTAGCCTCAGGCCCTCAGCTAACCTTCTTATACCCCCCCCTTAAGCTACTTGTCCCCAATACAACTGATCCCTTGATAGCCCTTTTCTGGAGTAAGTGTTGCATAGCCGAGGTCTTTGAAGATTTTTCTAGCTGTTCACGTTCAATGTGGTTTTTAATCATGCTAGATTTTCTTAACATCCTATATGGTTTTTTGGAGAAATGTAACTTTGCAAAAGGTATCAATATGATATGTCCCTATTGGGCATATTGTATCAGTTTTGAAGGGCACCGATACAACAAATAAAGGGAGTTGGGTCTTTTGAATGTTTTTGGATGTTAGTATTTAATGAGATAGACAACTTATCAAGAAATCAAATCAAACAAGTTTAAAAAATTAACTTTATTGTTCAACTTAAACTCTTGACACGCGTTCAGAGTATTGTACTTTGAACCTTGTGTAGACTCAAATCTTTTCCCCCTTTTCTTTTCATTTTTTCTTCCTGTAAGAGCAGCACATGCATAGCCTGACGATGACAGTGAATTATATTATTCCTCCTTTTGGGGAGCAAGGTGCAGGTTGAAGAGGTTTATCTAAGCCAAACTTGTTCTATATGTAAACTGATGCAATTTAAGTTCAACTTAGATCCTTGTTCTTTCAGTGATTATTTATTTCCGTGGCATTTGGAACATCTTGTTTGAACTTCCAATTGTCTATCTTATCTTTGATTTTACATTAGAAATGATAGTGTGCACATTACTAATAACAATTCTATTTTGTTATTTTTATAATATAATTCTGTTTAATGAAATGGACTGCTCTGAAATGCATTCTGTATCGATGGTTTGCATCCTTTGATTTTGGACTGCTGATTATTTAGCAGGTGCATTGACCAATGCTGGGGATGTAGTATCATCTGAGGAGGCACCACCTCCAAATAACCTTCCAGTGGATGGCGCTGAATGGGTGGAACTGTTTGTTAGAGAAATGATGAGTGCCTCTAATGTAGATGATGCTCGAGCTCGTGCATCCAGGGTGCTTGAGGTTCTGGAGAAAAATATATATGCTCGTGCTGGGGCTGATGCGGCACAAAACCTTCAGAAGGTAATTATTTGCTTTTTATTGTTAAAAGTCGAACTTCATTAATTGTGATAGAAACAATGAATTACATATAGTGAAGTGCCAAGTAATCCAAAAGATAATTATTTGTCATCATATGCTTTGATTTGTTTTCCATGGTTTATCGTACATTTTTTGGTAATATGGCTTATACTTATGGTGCGTTATTGTTAGGAAAATATGATGCTGAAGGAACAGGTTGAAGCACTGATTCGAGAGAACACCATTCTCAAGCGAGCAGTGGCCATCCAGCATGAACGTCAGAAAGAATATGATGATAGGAGCCAGGAATTGCAGCATTTGAAGCAGCTAGTGTCTCAATACCAAGAGCAGTTAAGAACACTCGAGGTGCGTAGTATTTCTTAAAGAACTCGTGGTCCATGGTCCTTTTCAAAGAAAAGCTTACATTCAAATTTATAAAACACATCAAGCGTGAACTATTGAAACATATAAAAAAGTCTGCTGCCCTTGTGATTTTTATTTTCTAACGTCGGTTAAGGTTATGTGCTAGAAATTTGTGCTGTTGAGTTGTCTTTTACTGGATTAAATGGTTTGCGATTATAAAAACATGACTGGATGACAGCCCAGACAGAGAACTTGATAACAATTTGGGTGGTTTCCTTACTATAGAATATTAGCAAATGACCCTGTTCTCAGACTGTGGAACTATAGGTATAGGCCTAATATCTAAGTATTAAAGAAGACAACATATATTTAAAGCATTGCGATCAATTTGCTAACTTATAATTTGGTCCAACTGTCCAAGTTTTTGCTCAAAATAAAACCAGTGTCTTTGATACTGTCTACTACTGTTCTAGAATTCTTTTAAGTAGTTTTTATTTGCCATAGAAAGAAATTAGAAATAAAGGACTCTAATTATTTGTTCTTCTATAATGCAACATTGGCTTTATTTTTTTCAAGTCTTTTTAGTATTTGATTGGAATCGGAAGACTTTGTTTAGGGCTAAATATTGTTTCGAGGCCCACGTTAACACTCCTAATTTTTGTTTTCAATTATAATTATTTTAACCATTTTTTGGATAGAAATATTTTTATCCATTATATTAACCATTGTTTATAGAAATGAAATAAAAAATTTAAATGGCTGACTAAAGATATTAGGGCTGCTAACAACTTGGCAGATGCATTTAGTTAAACAAGGGGGTGGAGAGACATCAATTGTTTTGAGCTCATTTGTAAGATTTGGAGAAATAGGAGGTTTTATCTCTCTTGACTGACCTTAACATGGATGTACTTGTATATTTTTTACTTCAATAAAAGTGATGACTATTGATAAAAAATCATGTGAAAAGTTTTGCAAGAGTGCTCGCTGTACAAGAGATTGTACAACTGAAAACAGTTTAAATGGTAATGGAAGCCTTTCTCTTATATCAGAGAAAGGACACATGCTATTCACATGTGTAAGATATAAAGTATTAACCTTACATGATCTGATTTAACTTTTATGATCTGCACCAGAACTAAGGCAAGTATATATATAATGAATCCCGAGAAGCCCCTGTTTAGCAAAAGAATCAATCAAGTATTTGCCAATCTGCCCACCCATTGAATTCTAACTTTCTTACTTTTAGTCATCCATTTCACCTTTTTGAGAATGTCCCTATAGCTCCAAATGACAGAATCTGGGTTCAAACGCCACCCCACAACCACCTTGGAATCACATTCAATTAGTAAATTCTCCACCCAAGCTGGTTTGCAAGCTGAATCCCTTGCACAGCAGTTAGTAAACTCAGCCTCTGTAGAATCTCCTATTCCCACTGGTCCTGAAAACAACGATAAAGATGTTTTTTGATAGATAATGATAATGAAAATTTTATTAATTAAATTGATCAAAAAAATTTATTAATTAAAGTACTAAGTATACATCATACAATTCCCCACTAAGAGGCATGAGGTGCAGCCTCCAAACTACATCATAAAGCTTACAATTGAGCCCAAAAGAGCTGATTCCTATGTACTCCTTGTTTAGCTAGGAGGTCTGCGAGCCCATTTGCTGATCTTCTTTCCCATTGAATTGTGACTGAAATATTTGAAGTCAGCCACTTAAATCTTCTCAAAGTCCCCCTGTACAGCAAGGCTGCCATCTCTGGTTTTTTTACCCATATCCAACAAACAATTTGGAATCACCTTCAATCATTAAATGCTCCACTGCCAAATCTCTTGCATATTCTGCTCCTTGTAACACAGCTTGGAGTTTTGCATTTACTGAGTCTCCTCACCCTATAGGACCAGAAAATAGAGCTACAATCTGACCCTCATCATTTCTAAAGACTCTCCCTATTCCAGATGGCCTCAGGTTGCCCAAACTACTGCCATCAAAATTTAGTTTAATGACGCCTGCATCAGGAGGCTTCCAATCCACCACCGGCTTGCTTCTGACTGCGGAACTTTTAGCTTGTTGTTCCCAATTTCTCCTTATGTCATCAAAAGTGTAGGAGGAGAACAGATCCAAGGATTTTACCCAACCTATGGCCCTACATAAGATACTTTCTAACACACATGTTTGATCCCTCTCCTTGTCATTAGAGATTCTAGCATTTCGTTCCTCCCACACAGTCCACACCAAAGCAGCTCTAACACACCTCTAAAAAAAACTCTTCCTCTTCTCTTTGGCCACCTGAAAGTTGTAGGATCAAAAAGATTGTAAATCTGCACCGGTTTTGTCCACCTGCACCCAAAAAGATAAAAAAGCTTTTCCCAAAGGCCTACAACAAAAGGGCAAGTGATTAGTAAATGGTAGCAACTTTCCTCGTTTGCTTTGCAAAGGGTGCACCAGTTAGGAGAGATACAAAGACTAGCTCTTCTTTTTTGCAAAACATCCAAAGTGTTGGTTTTCCCTAGGGAGACTTCCCAACAAAGTTCTCCAACTTTAGGAGGGAGAGGTTTGGACCAAACTTCCTTGTTATGAAAAGGTTGAAGCAATGGAGAGGAGCACAAGGAAGCAAAGAAGGGAGCACAAGAAAAGGATCCCAAAGGTAAAGGCTTCCAAATACGGGAATCTACAGAAGGAGGGTCCAAGTAAACGGGATCAATAGTTTTAAGGAGCAAAGGAACCTGGTCAAGCTCAGAATCTCTCAAATCTCTTCTAAAACCCAGATTCCATTTTATGCCAAAAGGAAAGGAAGAGGATACAAACCTTTGAATTGGCTTGTTTTTAAAACACGAGATGGAATACAAGGAGGGAAAGAGGTCCTTGAGGGCAGTCACCAATCCAAACATCCTCCCAAAACAAAACCCTATCTCCATGGGGATTTCAGCGTAGCACGCCAAGATACACCAGCATCCCATCCATTGTCTGCAGCACCATGCACGCTCCTCACCACTTATCTCTCAGAACCCCTCCTGGCCTCCTATTATCAAAGGTCCTGGATTACCCTGACTACTACCATCAAAATTCAGCTTAACAAAACCCTTTGAAGGAGGTATTCATTCCGGTTTAATTCTATCCTTCTTAGAAGAAGTATTAGCCACTGCTAACCAACTCCTCTAAAGATCATAAGAAAATATACATCAAAGAGATTTAAAGTTTTTGGCCAGTGAATTGCTCTTGTCAGAATACACTACTTGACAAACAGTGCACCAATTTGGGGAAAAGGCACAAGAAAGGTCTCTTCTTTTGCAGGTTGCCCAAAGAATTAATCTTACTATAGTAAACATCCTAGTAGAAAACAACAATTTTGAGGGGAATAGGTCTAGTCCAAACTTCTTTAGCTGGGAACACCCAAGGGCTGGAAGTAGAAAAGAGGGATCTGAAAACAGAAACACAAGTGAAGTAACCTTTTGGGATTTGAAAAAGAGTACATCAGTTTTTACTTCCATGGTTCCACCGAAGTCCATTTTCATCTGCCACTAGCTTTTCGGTCCCCTGTGATTTGTAACAGATAACTCTTTCTATGCACATGATGGAACCATCTGATTCTATTCTCTCATCTTATCACATATTGGAATTACTCCTAGGTTCCTTTGTGTGACTTCCTTTCTAATCCTGACCTCTCTACTTTATCACTCATCCCTCATAGCATTCAATATTTCTATCACACTCATTTTGTTGGACATAGTATTTCTCAACTGTCAAAAACATTGCAACATACCACATAACTAGCGTTACAACTGTTTCATAGAATTTTCCTTTTAGTCAAAATTGGTATTTGTCCATCACATAGGATTCTGGACGCACTCCTCCATTTTACCCATCATGCTTTAATTCTATTAGTGGCATCCTGCTCAGTCTCTCTTTTGTTATGAAATATTGAACCAAGGATAAAATTTCTGTTTTATCTGTATCCTTTTATTTTCTGCAGTTTGAGTATATTACTAGGCTGTTAAATCAGGATGCTCACCTTTTGTATCAGCATGCTAAGAACTTATTGATGATATTGTTTGGTGGAACTTATCACCAACTTGTAAAGACTTCATATTTTAGTGCTTTATTTTGTTTATCTATCAAAAGATAAGGTAACCGAAGAGGTGACATCTTTAAAATCTCGTTTGTAAATCTAATTTTACATTTTATGAAAGGAAAGTAAAAAATCACAGAGAACCACGTAATTGTCTCTCTGCCATAATATATATACACTCATTGAGAAGTGGTGAAAGAATAATGCTTGTTGTCATCCCTCGTGTGGTCATGTGATGTTATGACGGAAGTTTGATGAATTGGTGGTGGTTTGCTGTTCTGTACCTGTGTATCTCGAATAGTGATGTATGCTGCTCATTTCTGATAACTGTGGGGATTTTGTGCTTTCTTGTGGCAGGTGAATAATTATGCATTGACAATGCATCTTAGGCAGGCTCAGCAAAGCAGTTCCATTCCTGGGCGTTTCCATCCTGATGTATTTTAACATGGACAAATGATGCAACGGGGAGTTATTTGTTCTTTGGTGTGGGAAAAGGGTCAGGTGTTATATGTTGTATTCATCTGAACAGACACTTGGTGCTCTTTTCTATTTGATGTGATGCTGCTCACTTGGCAGCTTTAAGGTGCAACCACGGCCCAGCTTTCGTGTGATGGGCAGGTCACTCACAAGGTCCATATTTTACATATATCCCATTGGATTTTACAAGTTTAATCAACAAATTCTTTATATCAAGATTTCAACATTGTTTTTGAATTTTGGGCTTGAGTAGATATATAGTAAATATCCTTGGATTAGTTATGATATATTCCATTTGTTTGTTATATTCTCAAAATCTTTGTCCACAAAATAGATTCTCATGGTGCTTGGTACCGTGGTGTTCTAAGATACAATGCTGCAACTTAAATCATTGATATAGTATAACATATATTTATAATTGTAATAACATATAACCATAATTCAAAGTGCTGAAATTTTAATACATTAAAAAAACAAAAAAACCGAAAACAGTTGTTTTTGATAATTCACAATTCAGAAATGAGAACTACTTTGCTTTCAACGATCAGAACATACTATTGGTTCTCAATACAAAAATTAAAGAACATATTGTTGGTTGCTTGCGTGAATTTTGTATTTAAAACTGAAACCAGAAGTGTGTTTCTGATTGTTTTTGTTTGAAAAACATGTTCTAATGTGGTGTTTAACTTTTGTTGAAATGACAATTTTAAAAACACAATACTATGTTATAGAACACCTAGTTTGAGTAGATTTTATTGTTGTGAGTTTCAACAATAAATCAAAATGATAGAAAAATACTTAGTTACATGTTAATAAAGTAAAACATTTTTAATTAATAGTATCTTAAATTATTACCTCTCAAATTTATTGATTTTAAATATAAAATATGGTGCAAATTAAAAGAAAATTAAGAAAATATTATATATTTAATAAAATAATCGATTGCAACTTGAATCGGTTTGGGACACACAATGACACAAGAACCAGAACTGATCCAATGATTAAAGGACAAAATCATTGAAACAGAACCAATATAATACGTTCGCTTCAATCCATTTGGGTCTGTTGGGTAGACCTGACCACCTACAATGCATATTATATATAATATTTTTATGTTAATGTTCAAAATAAATTTTAAACACATTATGTCATATAATATAAAATATATTTATATTCAATATTTTACATGTAAAAACTATTGGGTGGGAACGTAGGTTGGGCCAGCTTAGGCCCAAGCTAAAGCCGTTATCACAGGTGCAAAGCCTAATTCATGATCACCCCTAATTTAGGGTTGTAAATTGGGATGCCAAATTTGGAAGGATTTCAACTACATGAGGCTTGTGTTGGGGTTAAGAACTCCCAACCCATGTTACACCCTTATTTGGTTTCGTTGGTAAATTTGGGTTTTGTTTTCTGGCATTATTTTGGGTCTTAATAAGGGTCCATTTTAGGATTGGTCTTGGTTTGGGCCTTAAACAGATAAACCTAATTTAACTTGAGGACCGAAAAATTCAAGCCCCAATCTGTCTAAAATTTTGTGCTGTATTGGTTTGGGGCTGTTGGGCCCACCCAAGTTGCACCCCCTAGTTTCTACTTTTTATGAATTATGGTGCTGGTTGATTTGTTACAAGTTTTTAAGGTATCATTTCTTTATGGTATCATATAGACAAAAGCAGTCATTTTAATAGTTTATAAAATATGATTTTTTTTACAAGATCGACCTGCTTTTCTGCTTAACACAGTTTAAAAACATGTTTTTTTGTTTTTAGTTGATGTATTCATCCATGTGAGAACAACGATAGAAGAAAAAAAAGTTATAGATAGGTATCCTGTACTTTTGGGGGGGGGGGGGTAGTGACGGATAAATACCTTAAAACTTTCAATTGCAACATTTGAGTGCCCCAAATTCTCAAAAATATACACTTGGATCCATACGTTCAGTTAAACACTAAATAATGTCAAAAATACCCTTTTTGTGTATTTTTTTTTTGATCATTCTACAGAGTAATACATCACTAGAGAATGCCGTTGTCAAAAAATTTGAATATGTTATTTGCTGTGCATGCATGAACGTTATCATGGAGAGACATTTGGTTATTTGAGAATAATATCAGAAATACATGAGAAGGGTATTTTTGGCTTATATATGTTTAATTGACGGGTACTAATGGATTGACTCAAGTAACTATTTTGGAATGTTTAAGGTACTCAAGTATTGCAATTGAAAGTTGAGGGTACCTATCTGTTACCATCCCAAAGTACAGGGTACCTATTTGTAATTTACCCATTTTTTTCTTCTTTGTTTCCCTTTTCCACCATTGCCATTGGAACTTGTTGCACTGCAGTGGCGATTCCTCCCTCCCCTCTCTCTCCCTTTTTTTTTGGCTTTTTAAATTTTATATGTTAGATTTTACTTTGTTACTTTTGAAAGGTCAACATAGAGTTCAGATCTATGTCCTAAAAGGTGCCACAACACATCCCTGCTGTGTATTAGAAACATTTAGAGATAATAGTATTAGAGTCGATGATATCATAATCGGAAGATATTCCCAATACATGGTGACCAATGATGTCAAAATCAGAAGATATTTCCAATATACGGTGGGGATATGCTATGGGACGTTGTGGGGCGCCCCTTGTGGGGGCGTAGATGTGAACTCGTCAACATGATATGTACAAGTAATTTTTCAAATTCAAGGTATATCCAAGTAGTTTCCTGGGTATGTATAAGTAATCAATTATCAACCATTTTTTTTCTTTTATTTTTTGGTAAAAGATGGATGATAGTATGAAGAAGAGGGAGAAGGGAAAAGAGTAAGGAAAAAACGGGAAAAAAAGAGAAGCGTTAGTAGGCAAATAACATGAGAGTTGCTTGTAATGCAACGTGGCAAAGCGATGGCCACGTACAAAATCGTGACCATTGACCAGAAAGATCAGGCCCCATATATCAATGGTTCTCTTAGCCACGTGTTTACAGCAATTTCTGCCCGTGGAGAAACGGAGATTCAATATAAACGGTTCTGATCTGTCCAGGTGCCACAAATTGGCCACGTCAGAATACGCGTTCCGTAAATTCGGGTGGAATTACGTGTTCCGTAATTCCAATCTAACGTCAGAGACACGAGGGCGCACTTATTAGATTCTCTACCATATAAGATAAAGGGGAGAAAAAGGAGGAGTACTTAAAACGTACTGTATCGTGCCACACGGGAGATTCTAGTCTATCTAACCATCACAATTCATCCATAAGCATTTGTGATCGTCATCACACAATTACACGAGGGGGTAGAGAGAGAAAGAAAGAGGGAAAAATTGCAGACAGAAATGAATCCAACAATCTCCGCTCCTTGGAGTCTTCACATTAATTTTCAGCTCCTTCTCTCTTAGAGCAAACAACAAACAGTTTCAATTCAACAAATCAATGGCGCTTACTATCTCATTCATCCCTTCCTCGCTCCATTTCAGTCAGGAGCGTCCGCAACTGTTTAATGGGTCTTCTTTCTTCAATGGCGGCAGCAGCAGCCTCGGTTGCCACCGGTCCTCCTTTTCTCTATTCTCTGTTGGTTTGAGTGATAACAAGAAGAAGGTTTCCAGTAAGCGCTTCGCTACTGTAATCACCGCAGCTGCCGACTACTACTCTACTCTCGGAGTTCCCAGGTCTGCATCTAGCAAAGAAATCAAGGCCGCTTATCGGAAGTTGGCGCGCCAGGTACTTGGGGGATTTTATTTAATTTTTTCGGTTTTTCCTTTTGAATCTTGGCAATTGGCATTGGCTTGCTTTTTCTGTTCTTGTTTTTTTCCTCTTTATCGAATCTTTTAGAGAAATTTGATATTACTTCCACATTTTACTTGACGTGAGTAAGTTTTTCAGGATTTAGTTAAGAAATTTGATTGTGATCTTATGATACAACATGGGCTGAAGAGGTGATCCTGAAATGCATTACTTGTAAATTTTACACATTACATTAGTCACAGAGTTTGAAGTTCTTGGCTCGTTCAACAATTAGCACTAGGTTTTGATGAAGGACTGGACTAACTGATGCTTGTCTTTGCACTGAATATTCTTGCATGTAACATCTGGTTGCATGGCTACTTATTTATCAGTTTTGCTTCTCGAGCAATTATTACATAGTTACCCGCTTCCCTGTTCACTGCACTAGTGCACTTTCGGTGAAAGTGAGAGGCAGAGGAGTAGTTTGGGAACATTTTTCGAGTTAGACAAGTTTCTTTGAAAGTTTTTGATGCATACATAATCGTTTCTCTGAGTGAGTGATGATTTGTATGTTCCTACTCGGATTTGGTTGATCCGTTGATATGGTATCTGCACAGTCTCTTTCGACAACTTAATGGCCAACTGAGTTGGATGCCATCAACAACTTGATTTGGTTGATCCGTCGAGCACTTTTTTTATTTATTTTTATTTTTTTTAACTTTTGCCAACTAAAGGGTCGTTTGATAATGGCTGAAGTTGCTGAACTGAATGACTTATTGTTTTGTCCTTTAGTGGATAAAATAATTAAGTAACGAATACTTCAAGGGTATAGTCATCTATCCAACTTCAGTTTCAGTCATTAAGGAGTCCACAACCTCCTTAGAAACTTATTCACTAAAAGACAAAGCAATAAGCTTTTAAGTTCAGACACTTCAATTTTTATCAAACGGCGCCTAACTATTTTTTAATCTCCTTTTTTCCCCTGATTTGTAATTGTGAAGTATTTATTTTGAATCTGTTAATGTTCTTTGTCTTTCTTAGTACCATCCTGATGTTAATAAGCAACCTGGAGCAACTGAAAAGTTCAAGGAGATTAGCAATGCATATGAGGTATGTACAGAACAGCACACTTCCAAAATTTTTCTTGCTTTGTATCATCTTTGAATTATGTAAGTCAGCATATTTCCAACCTTTTTAATTGTCTCATATTTGAGTTATGCTTAAGTCAACACATTTCTAATTCTTTTTCTTGCTTTACCTTGTTTTTAATTGTTGGTCATATCATTGTTATGAAAATGTGTTTTATACTCCTAGCTGTACAAGTATGACCAGTATTAGGACCCTCAAAAAAGTCTAACCTCAAAAAAGTATCACAAAAAACTTCATCTTTAAATACAGCGGACAAGATCAACCAGCTCCTAAGCTCTTCCACAATAAAGTTAATTACCCCAGTCTCAGACTTAGCTTTCTGGTAACAAGTAACTGCTGTTTGTAAACTTTGTCCTACTTACATATTTTATTTAACTAGTATCCCATATTTTCTTAGGACACTACTACATTAATAGGCAAGAGGAAATGTATCTAATGTCTTATTTAAGAACAAGAAGAATTGCTTGACTCCAATAGACCATAGTCCTTGTGAATTTACCTGCATTGCTTGGTCATTCTGAGATGAAGTCTTGGCCTTTTCTGTCGTTGGGGTTTTGAGGTTATCCATTGTAGGCCATGGTTACTTTGGTGCATTTGGAAAGAAAGCTACCGAAGGAGTTTTGAAGGCCAAGGAGAAGGTTTTTTACCAGTTGATGCTAACAACTTACTCATGTATTGTTCTCTTTACCCTTTTGGTTTTAAGGACTTCCATAGGAGGGATTTAGTTTATTATTGCAATGCTATTTTGGGTGTAAAGGGTGGTATATTGTAGCGCTAGTCTTTTTTCCCCTTTTTGATTGGCTACTTTTAAAATTTATTATTATTAAAAAAAGAATGAATTACATACATTAGATGCCAAGCATCTCATAAGTGTAAGATAGAAATTTCTACCTGGCTCCTTTCCCTAGAAATTGCTTTCAACAATGAGCAATTGTCTCCAAAACAACTCAGCCCCGTTTACTCCTTGTTTGTCAATTGCATCAGCTATACCATTTTCTGACAATCTGACCTTGCACCCATGAAAATGTAGTTCCCACTCTTTGCTAGCTATGGTCTTTTTCCAGCATTATCTATAAGAAAAGCAAATTTGTCTTCCTTGGTCTTGGCACCCATCAATCTCAATATCATTATATTTTTGGGTTTTGCCCTTTTTTTTGTAGTATTAGTTCTAATTAACTATTTCTTACAACTATTTGATCTATGTTCTTGTATCAAGAGCGGAACAAATTTTCTTCTATATTTTATCATGCATGTCCATCAAAGTGCACTCTCTTATTTAAGTGTGCATTTAATGATAATACTTTTTGAATTCTGAAGTCCTACAATGTCAGGTGCTATCAGATGATAAAAAAAGAGCTTTGTATGATCAATATGGTGAGGATGGACTTAAAAGTTCCGTAGGGGGACCAGCTGGAGCTTACACGGTACTGTAGATGATGCTCATTTATTTTTCCTGTTTTTATCTTTATAAAAAATAAACAATTTGTACTAGTATCATCTTACTAGTATGAGGGTGAGCCTTGATGCAACGGTTGGGTTTTCCATTGTGACCTAGGAGACCAGGGTTCAAATCTTGGAAACAGTCTCTCTGTATGTGTAGGGGTAATGCTGTGTACATCTGTCCCTCCCCAGACTCTGCATTGGTGGGAGCACATGCACTGGGCTGCACTTTATCATCTTACTAGTATATCATGATTCGTTTTACCTATTGCTAGAGAGAGTGGAATACCAGAACTAGATTGGGTATCTGAACACAAATGTTTGGTCTAGAATTTGCTTTTCATGACTTTCTTTTCTCCAATTAAAGATCACATTTAGTGTGGTTCCTATGTTTTTCTCCTTTCTCTGGCTAGATATTCTTGACCCATGTCTTAAGAATGGGTCATAAATCATTGCTTCATTGCCTGTCTAGAGGTGCACAGATTGGATCTTCAAAATCTTATTTGTGAATAGTGGGATCATGTGAGAACAAGTTTGGTTTCTTGCCTTTTGCCCAAGGCATTTGTTTGACATGTTCTGTTAAAAGGGTTCTGAGTTCCATAATTCTTCCTACTCCAAGCCCTTGTTTTTTTTGAAGAAAAGGTAAAGTATCATTGTATTAAATATGAATAAAAAATGTACAGCAAAATGATGCACTGAGGGAACAAGAAAAAACTGTTCCCTCTAAACTTGATCCCCACCCTGCTTTACAAAAAGCTCATGTACAAAAATGGATTCAAAACCTACACCCCTAAACTGCCGGTGACTTAGACAACCAAGAACACATCTTCCCCACAATTTTTAGAAAAATGGAATCAGCAGAGCTTGTCTTGCTTTTGAAGACCCGAGCGTTTCTTTCTTGCCACAGGCACCAAAATACCACTGCTGGGGTTAAGTTCCAAACTAATTTTCCTCTTTTACTCAGACCCTCCACCCTCCAACCCTTTACAAAATCCTCTAGTGAACCTGGGCAACAGATTTGCACTTCAAATAAGTGTGAGATTCTGTTCCAGATCTTTGAAGAGTAATTGAGTGCAGTAAAAGGTGATTCACAGTTCTAGTTGTCCTTCGCATAGGACACAGGTAGTTGAATCCAGTATAGCACCTTTCCGAGAGAGGTTATCCCTTGTAAGTATCCTGTTGAGGTATGCCATTCAGACAAAGAGAAATTTTTGAAGGCACATTTTTACACCAGATGATGTGGGTTGGGACTGAGTGTCCTTCTGCACTGTCCAAGGCCTTGTAAAAAGATTTAACTGTGAACTTTCCAGATTTCTCCTACTTCCAGATTCTACTGTCAGCCCTTGCTGACTCCAACTGTGTACTGTAAAGGAGTTGCAGTAGCTCCATCCACTCATCCACTTCCAAATCATTTAGATTCCTCCTGAATTGTGGGGTCCAAACCAAGCTACCTTCTTAGATTTGCAAGCTTTCAGCAACCTTAGCTTCTTTGTTTACTGCAACTTCAAACAAGGCAGGGAACCTCTTGAACAAAGGCCTCTCCCCACACCAAACATCCTTCCAAAATTTGACCCTCTCCCCATTTCCTACCTTGAATTTCACACCTTTTGCAAACAAGTGACAAATCTTTTCAATACCTTTCCAAACCGAGCACCCATAGGACTGATTTGAATCTCCTGGATCCCAACCAAAATTTCTATCTCCATACTTGGCCTGCACCACCCTTTTCCACAGCCCTCCTTGACTTTCCTCAAATCTCCAAAACCACTTCCCCAGCAATGCAGTATTGATACTTTTCACCCTTCTAACCCCCAACTCCCCTACAGCTTTGGGCTAACAGACCTTGTTCCAGTTTACCAAGTGGTACTTCTGCAATTTCCAGCCTCTCCAGAGGAAGTCCCTCATCTTCTTTTTGATGATAGCAGCCATTCCTGCTGGAATTGGGTACGACCATATGAGGATAAAAGGTACATTGGGAGGGAGGATAGCACACTTTTCACCAGGGTAACCTTGCCTCCATGAGAAAGATACTTGGTTTTCCAGGAGGCTAATTTCTTTTCAAGTCTTTCAACAATTGGCTCCCAGATTGTTTTGGAGTTACATTTTGCACCTAGGGGCATGCCCAAATATTTTAGGGGCATCTTTCCCACTTTACATCCCCACGAATCTGCCCAGCTGGTCAGCTCCTGCACCTCTCCCACAGCCACTAACTCACTTTTTCTTAAGTTAACTTTCAGGCCTGAGACTACTTCAAACCATTTCAGTACAGACATAACAAAGTATAACTACTCTTGTGATGCATCACAGAAGATCAAAGTGTCATCAGCATACTGCAGTAAACTAACCTCCACCCTCTCAATACCTACCGTAAAACCTTTTAGAAAACCCCCTGAACCAGCCCTTTTCACCAATCTGCTTAGAGCTTCCATCACACAAATAAACAGGAAAGGGGATAGTGGGTCCCCTTGTCTAATCCCTTTCGAACTTTTGAAATTTCCAGAAGCTTTCCCATTGACCAGAACTGAAAAGGAAGGAGTTCCAACACATACCTGAACTTAGAGCCAAAATTCATTCTTCTAAGCACGTAGTCTAGGAAGCTCCACTTCACTTGATCATATGCTTTCTCCAAATCTACTTTGAAGATGTGACTTGCTGTCCCCACCACCTGAACTTCCTCCCACCATCCCCTTAATTTCTTGACTAGGCCTTCTTCTTGCAGCCAAAGATTTTCAAATCCGAATGGGGAAATTTTATTTTGGACCCCTTTACAGTCTAAACAAATCAGTGCATGATCTGATACTGGTCTAGGCAAAGCCTCAAGACATAGATTTGGGAACTTTCTTCCCACTCCGGGGAGACTACAAAACAGTCCAGCTTCACTAACGTTGCCTTCTCTTGTTTGTTTGTCCAAGTATACTTCATTGCTTTCATGGCGAGAACAACCCTTCTTGAAGCCAAATTTTCAAGTAGAAAATTTCCTCCAAAACGAAGTCACACACACTGACTTGGTGTGAGCCTTTGGAGCTTAGGGACGGTCGTCGTCTGCCTCTCTTACAAGACCTTGTTTTTTTTTTTTTTTTTCTATTTATGCATCATAGCAAATAGTAGGCACTAATTTATGAATTGTTAAACATCTTTATAAGAATGTATGCATGTATCATTGCATGACAGAGGCTGTCCTCTTCTCCTAACACTAGGGAGGCAGTCAATTTCAGCTATGTACTGTTAGAACCTTTCATCAATAAAACTCTACAATTTTGTTTCTGAACCCAGAAAAATGAAAAAAAAAATGTTATACTTGTCTTGGTCTTCTTTTAGTAATTGATACCAGTTTTTTTCTTTTTCACAGACTAATCCTTTTGACCTGTTTGAAACTTTCTTTGGGGCGAGCATGGGTGGTTTCTCTGGTATGGATCAAACAGGATTCAGAACACGCCGTCGTAGTGCTAATGTGAGGGGTGAAGATATACGGTGAGTCAAGATTTAACTAGACGAGTTGAATAACTTGCCTTTTTAGTGGTATCTTTCTAGCAAGTTTTAGAAATATCATGCTACTGATAAAATGTAGAACCACATTGTCATACTTTCAGGCAACGATGGAAATAGATCTAGAACCAGAGTTAAGCTTTATATAAGTAAATGAATGTTAACCAGTTGTCTCAGATTCTATATTTGTACAGGACATGGTTAGTTAGGCCTTCGAAGTCTGATCAATTTGTTTTGAATCTTTTGATGATTTAGACTGGATCAGCCATGTGTATATGCTAAAAAAATTGCATCTCTATTATATTTTATTTGAGTTATGTGTGTTATCAATATGAGTCAATTCTATTATCAAACTAAATGATTGTGAGTTTGTAATGCAGGGGTACTTTTCTTTTTCTTGTCTTATTTACATGCCATTCTGTTCCTAAATTGAGCTTCTTTAGCTTAGAATACATAAACTAAGTTTTGAGTGTTTTTTCTAACTTTTAAATTTCTGTAACAAAGAACTTTTTTAAGAAAGATATAAAGGAAAGATACATGCACTCACTTCCAAAGAGGCTTGAGAAAGCCAGGAAACCTTAATGAGGCATGCAACACAATAGCACAGGTGCAATCATAAAGGAAAAGGGGAACTTTTAGATTCCCCCACCTCACAAATTTTATCTTTTTGTACCGTTGGGAATAGTGACAGGTGGGGGAACCTGATACAATACAAGGGGGTGGTACTGGTACCATGTCATAGGTGGGGGTTTTGGAAAGTAAAATCAGAAAACAAATAAAAATTTTGTGAGGTGGGGTAAAGTGAAGATTCCTCAAAGGAAGAAAGTTACACTGAAGTGGAGGTACCCCAGTACAAATGACTCATTCCTACCTCATCTGTAGCAAGGATTCTATTGAGTTAGAAAGCATTAGACTAATCTAAAAGAGATGTTCACTCTTGAGGACAAGGCTTTAACCTTCCTAATGTAATGGCATAGAATCAAGAGGAATACTGATAAACTGGAAGATGAAAAGAAGAAGAATTGAGAAGCCATCTGAATCATAGAGTATCTGGCTAATAACAATATAAGATTTTCCGTTCACCTTGACATGCTCAAAGATCAGGAAGTACATCAATCTGATTCGTCAACCTAAGACCCTGGAGTAAACCCAGAATATTCTATAATGAGATCCCCAATACACCGATTACTCTAGAATGTTCTCACACTCAGGAGTACTATTAAGGTTGAGCTTAACAAATCCTTTAAGAGAGGGTAACAAATCCTACAGAATGGGCTGTTCACAAGATGAGGAATTCACTGCCACCTGCCAAATCTGATCACAGAATCATCTCATATGTCTCTGTACTCTTTCATCAAGATTGACCGGACAACTCAATGATTGATTATCTGGGATTTGGTGGAGCCTGAGACATCTAGAGGCAGGGGCACAAGAGAAGTTGAGAAGCAAAAGCAAAAGTCAGAACCTGCTGGGTGGAGGAAGACCAAGGCAAGTCTGTAAGTTTGAGGGGCAGAGGTAGAAAGGGAAGAGGGAAGAGATGGGTGGTGATTTGGGCTAGGGCTGGGGTGGTATGTGTTGTGTTTCTTTCTGGTACATTTAACTGTTGGGGTGGTCTCAGGTTGTTTTGGGGCTTGAGTTTTTGAGGTGGTGATGGGTTCAGGTGTTGCTTTTGTTCTTGCCTTATAGGGCGTTTGTATCCAGTTGGTGCTTCATGTATAGGGGGCTGAGGTTGGCAGGATGTGGATTTTTTTATCTGCCACCTTTGCTCCTTTTTTTTTTTGGTTTTTTGGTTCTTGATCTGCATTAAAAGGCCATTACCAGATATTGGTCCCGGCTATCAGGGGTAAACTGGGTATGGTCCTACCTTTGTTTTGTTTTGTGTACAGAGCGGCTGCCTTCAGACTCAAACCTGCATTATCACATATGCGAGCCTGAGGTTTATCATTATACCAAGTAATGGCCCTTGCTTGAGGTGCATTGCTTGTATATATCTTGCATGCTTTTTCCTTTTATAATACATTTTTAAACTTACTATAAAAATATAATAAATGGGATACCTGTTTCCATATCTGTGTCTGGGGTCTTAGGATGAGTCCATATCTGCTATGAGAAAATGATGTAAGCCAATGCTGTATTGCTTATCAGCATCTGCAACTAACCAATGTTGGTCCTAGCCACCCAAGGTCTTGGGAGGGGTTGGCCGATATGACCCAACATCAGTTATTCAGGGTCTTTCATGAAGTGGCTGCTTTCAGACTTATATTCGTTTTCTTACACTTAGCCTGAGATTTTACCATTGCACCAACCAATGGCCCTGACCCCAGCTTTTCAATAAGGGTGCTACTTGGTGCAGGTCAACCTGAAACCCTACTGACCCAACCAAATTTTGGGCTGAGTTGGGTTGAGTTTTTCAGATATGGGGTCGACATTTTTTTTTGGTTTTTTGTTTTTTGTTTCGATTGGTATCAGGTTGGCAATTTTCAGATTCAATCAGACCCAATTTTGGCTGGGCTTGGTCAGGGTTGAGGCATCAGGCAACTGGACCCAACCCAAGCCTGAACCCTATTATACCTCTACCATTATGTGTATTAGACTATTATACCTCTCTCAATATCTTTAAGCATAATATTTAGGTAATGGTAGTTTAACTTTAAGTTTAGCAGATTTTCTCTTTTGTTTATTAGGAAAAAATTATAATTGCAGCCCCTCCTTGAATCTTACAAGTAAACTAGGAAGGAAAAGCAAGAATCACAACTGAGCCCAAAACAATTCTTCCCTATTTACCCCTTGCTTAGCTAACACATCTGACAAAGTATTTACTGATCTCCCCACCCACTGTACAGTGACCAACATATTCCTTGTCAACCAACTAAATTTCTTCATTTCGTTCTTGTAACGCCACATAGCCTCTTCAGGATTTTTCAACCAACCCACCACCACTTTGGAATCCCCCTCGATTGTTAGGTGTTGTACCCCCAGCTGGTTTGCAAATTGCACCCCTTGTACAACAACTAAAGGTTCTGCCCCGATGGAGTTCCCAATTCCCAAGGGACCTGAGTAGAGCAACAAAATCTCTCCCTTCTCRTTTCTCAAAGCACCTCCCATTCCAGATAATCCTGGATTACCCATGCTACTTCCATCAAAGTTCAACTTCAGTGAGCCTTTGGATGGAGGAGACCAGCTTGTAATTGATTTGTCCTTTAGAGATGAACACCTTGCTACTGCTGACCAATTTCTCCAAAGGTCATTAAAGGAGAATTGATGAAAGATTTCCAAGGTCTTCAGCCAAGGTATTGCCCTATTTAACACAGTCTTTCAATTCCTGACTGCTCCTTTCCTTCTCTTGAAAAATTCTAATATTCCTTTCTTCCCAAAGAGTCCAAATCAAGCAGAATTGCATGGGCTTGTTTCAGTCAGAGTTTCAAGCATTTCAAGTTCCAGCATTTTTCTCAAATTTGGATGGGATTATTTTTGGTGAAATTTTTGATGTTTTGAATTTGGGATAGTTTTATATTTTCCCTCTTTTTGTACAGATTTGATAAGAGGGAGTTTTTCCCTCTTATCAATGCAAATACATACACGGTTATCAAAAAAAATTTTTGTTATGCATTTATTGGACTAACCTGATTCAATCTGATCCAACCAAACCTGATTATGAAAGTTGGGTTACCCAGGTTGGGTTCATTGGTTGAGGCAGGGTTTAGTTGGGTTAGGATTGAATTACCCTTCCCTCGACTCTGGTTTTGGTTGACCTAAACTCAACCCAATCTGGTCCAAGTTGCACCCCTAACTCCAATCAGTCTGGAGATCTGTTCAATGCTGACAGACAACTTACTGTTGGCTTACAGTGTTGTTCATAGATCAGGACTCTCTTAGGATCTGGGGAGTCAAATACTCTTTCTTGTACCCCTGTCTCTGTTTCTACTCGTATGTGGTCATCAGAGGTTTTATGACTTTGGAACAAGTAGTTGATTCCCTCTTTTGGGGTGGGGCAGACTTTTGGAGGACAGTTGGTAGGGATATGGGACTCAACAAATCCTTAACAAAAATCTCAAAAGGAGAAGTGATGGAAAGAACAAATGTAAGGCACTTTGTTCTCTAGAGGGGGCTTAGCGCTGCATCCCCCTTGCTTGCAAAAATGAATGGATCAGAAGGGGAGGGTAGAGTAGGGTTATATTTCCAGGCTGGGAGGGAGGTGAGTGAAGGGATGAGAGATCCATCGTATGGACGCCCAAATCATGCGGAATAAGGTAGGCGAATTTCAAAAATTTTTTCTCTCCCTTCAATTGGGAATCGCATTCCCTATTTAGAAAATCATATTTTCAATGATCAATCTTGAACCATAAACTAAACCAGATCTGAACCAAAAGGAGTGGGAGAGAATTATACCTAATACGGAGAAGTAATATCTCCCAATGGAGGTGTTCACGCTCAAGGAAGGATCCAGAGACTGTTCCCACTGAAGATGGCGCAGTGCAGGATGGAGCAGAATCAGCAGTGTTCTTCTCCAAGAACCTATTCCTTCGCAAGAAACAGTAGGATGGCACGTGAGCACAACTTCTTATCACTCCTTTCACAAAGAACTAATATCAAGATCAAATTTTTCTTCTGTGATTTCAGCTCTGAAGACTAGAGATCTTGGTGTGTTGTTGTGTTGTCTAAAGGCTGCCGCCCCTTCTTTTTCTTGTAACCCTAAAGGATCAGCTCCTAATCCAATTAGGAGTTGCTGATCCAAATCATATTTGGATCAGACATCCCTTTAGGTGATAAGGATAAACCCTTATCTTATCTACAGATTAGATCAACCTTCTCCTAATCTTATTAGGAGGTTTCTAGATCTGAATCACATTCAGATCTTGACTCTCTGAGTGGATAGGGTTAAGACCCTATCCTATCTGCTA